TAACCAGTGTTGAGCAACACTAATCCAGAGGACTGTGATCTATGCCAAAAATGTCTTCCGTTTCCAGTCCATTACATTTTGTCATGCTAGTATTGTTGTATCCCTGCAGCATTCAGCAGAATACTAGCCGCTATGCTCTGCTGCTGTTTTTGACTGTGTTGGACTCATGTTAATAAGTCTCATAATCGTCCTTCACCTGTACGCTGTTGTCAATCTCTTCCCACAGGATGACTGTCTGGTTAAGGTTTGGTACAATACTGAAAGCTGGCACTCTGCTGTTATATCACCTGTTACAAGTCCAGAGAAAGAAGGTCAAGGAGAAGTAGACTTTTCTTTCATCTACCTTGCTCACCCTAGAGCAGTAAATGGATTTTCTTGGCGAAAATCTAGTAAATTCATGCCACGGTTAGTGCATTATGTGACACAGAAATATCTTTTGGTTAATGCCATATCTGATTTTATAATGTATCATCTGGATTGTGTATTAGTCCAACTGTAGGGAGGATCATTAGGTGATCAGAATTCCAATGTAACTAAGTATACCCTTTAACAGATTTTAGAAATTGTTTTATGTATGTATCTGCATCTCCACATATTCACTTGTTTTACTTGTATGTGAGAACAAAACATTTTTTTCTCATTTTTGGACTCGCTGAAAAAAACCCTGTAAAATAGGAGGAAACTTACCTTTGCGGCGGCCAATTAGTTGAAACCCTGACTCTGCTGTTCCCTGACCATTGCCAGTTTTGCATATTACTGGGTGTGTGGCATACATGCTGTGGCTTCTCCCGCTGACGGGCCATATGCTTTAAGCAGCGGAGTAACAGTAAAAAGACAGCCTTTTAACAAATGAGCCGTCGGAAAAGTAAGTATATTTTTTCTTTTACAGATATGCTTCTACATTTAAGTGACCCTGTGCTGACGGTCACGTCAAGGCTAACCTCCTTGGCCAAAAAATGATGCCAGCACTTTTGTCATGACAATTTTTGAATGCCTTATTTGGTACTGAGCTCGGGCAGAACTTAAAATGGCCTTGAACCTGACTATGATGGAACACAAGTAAATAATAATAATTAAAAAAAAATTGTTTTAGGCCACACTTTAGAAAAGTAAGGATGGAGATCAGATTATTACAAATGCAGAATGGTGAACAGTTTTCTTTTAAATAAACCCACTTAAATCTGAACTCCAGCCTTACCTTCAGTCTTGCACAGTTCTCAGGCTCCTCTACTGTACTGAAATTGCTTATTTTGATTTCATTGCGCATTGTAAGCTGCACCACATCATATAGATTTCACCACATTTCCTGGCTAGAGGACATTAGCATGACCTTGCTCCTTCCTCCCCAGGCTTGCTGTGCCTGACCTGCTCTTTTCATTCATTGGATTTCAGTTCTTTGTCATGGAGGCTCAGTATCATGGCCGTTAACTATGGCGGTTTGCATGCAAATACAGCCTGCCTAGTAATACCCACTCCTCCAGACTGACACATCCACTTATCAAGGATGTTTGATATTTCTGTAACTCCTCCCAAGATCCATCCCCACTGCTTGTATCGGGGCTGAGGGCTCTTGAGAGGAGTATTAAGGCAGGGAGCACAGATGTTTTCAGGAAGTCACGTTCAGCACCTTGCCAGTCCCTCCCATCAGCCCTGATCTGCCTGCATTCCATAGAAAAGCACAGAAGCCCAGTGATGATTTCACTGGTTTTAAAATAAGGTATGTAATGGGAACAAAGGTTTAATTTAAAAATGTAATTAGCATGTTGATAGAGGGAAAAGAAGAACCAGGGCATGCAAAAGAGAAGTTGAATAAACTCTTCTTCTTTTTTTTTT